CTAACGGCTACATTTTTTTTGGCTGGACACTTGATGGTTTTTAAGAAAAATACAAGACATGGGAAATGGAGTTTTGCTAAGTGAATGATGAATAACTAGCTTTAAGGGGTATCAGAAACCCCTATACCGACAATGTTAAATTGGCCATTTTCGATGTACCTTTTCTCAAAATCTGCCATAGATACAAGCTTGAAATTTTTTCTGTAATTAAAGTATACCTATCTGATTATACTGAAATGAGCTTTTGAAACATTTTGAATTTTAGAGTAAATTACAGAATATTTTGTTAGGCATAGTAAAATTTAGCTCTTTTCTCACACAAAAAAATTAAATTTTTTTCCCTAAGTTTATTACAAAAAGCTCATTTCAGTAAATATTAGGGAACCTAATAAATAAGCCATAAAAAGTTTAGATACCTGTGAGCAGTATTTCCTGAGAGAAGGTACATCTAGAATAAAAAAAATCATGTTTGGAGAAAAACACGTATTTATGTAAAAATCCTCATTGATCAAAGCAGTAGATGACAAATTAAAACTATATTTTTTTACAGTTCTAATTTTCATAGAGATTAAAGAATGGTATTTTTGGAAAGATAAAAGTGTAGAGAATTTGAAAATGCAAAAATCTGAAATCACAATTTTTTGAAGATTTTAGGGTTCCAACATCCCTTAACCCATTTATGCCGAAGGTTAAAAAATTGGAATTTTTGCATGAAATTTCTATATGTTAGGTAAAAAAATATAATAAACAATGATTTGAAGAAGAAATTTTTTTATTTTAATTAGTTTACAAGTTATATGGTGTTTCAAAATTGGAACACTAGGCTAAATGTGTTCCATTGCTATAATGTTACAATGTATAAAATCGTGGGTTTCCTCTAAAAATGTGGTTATTCCCATTATTCGGTATGGTAATTGGAAGGACACTTAACATGTAAAGCCACATTACATTTTCCACATCGAAAAGTGGTGTTTTTATGACATTGAGCAGAGCGAGTTTGCTTTCCTTGCTTTACGATCCTATGATTTATGCCATCATAGCGTGAATCAATGTTTCGCTTCCGTGAGGGTTTCCTTTCCTGCCAAGTTCTGCAGGATGACCATGAGTCTCAAGATAATGGCATGCTACACGACGACGGAATTCCAAAAGATCCATTGGTTTTGCATCATAAGTTTTGTGTAATTGCCAAGCATTTTGTAAGGCCATTTTGAAACAGCACAACAATGGACTTGAATACCATTTCTTTCCACGAATTGATGCTCTATATTTGTCAATGTTTTCGTCTGCTCTATCCACACCTCCTATAAATTGGTTATATACTTTTATCATGTTTGGCTGCTGAACTCGGATTTTCTTTTTTTGTTCTTGTGAATAACGATTTACAAGACACAGTGGATTTACACCAGCACCAGATGATGCAACAGTGTTGTCATGCCATCTACAGACAATATTGCCTTTGCCACAACACTGTTGTCATGCCATCTACAGACAATATTGCCTTTGCCATCAACTCGATAACCGAATGAGCCTCTTTCCATTTCTTTAGGTAACATCCGATTGCAATGGTGGTTTATCAATACGACCTTTTCTAACTGTGCCCTGTTGCCTGATACCCATTGAACCAAGTTTATCAAGCAGGGCATACTTGTGAAAAAATTATCAAAAACAAAATGATATTGCCCAGGGTGCTCCTCTATTAGAGCATCCTGTAAACCGTAAAAACAACAGAACAGACACACAACACCCTCATATTTGTTTGCCAGATTTTTACCTTGATAGGGGTTCGAACCAGGAAAAACATTTTAATTGAGAGTTTCAAGCGTGGGTTTACACCCTTAGTTGAAGCATATAAATTTGAGTATGTTACAATGAGTTCCATGACATCGTCATTTAGGAAAAGTTCAAAATGTTCTGTAGGAGTTCTTATTTTGGTAACTGAGTAATTCTTCCTGATATGGGCTGGACATTTAGATCTGCTTTTTCCCATTTTCGTACAACTTTTTCGAGCTTTTTCTTCTTTGTTAGACGTGATTGTTGCAAAGTAGAAGTCGATGGAACCCCATCTGCAGGAGAATCAAATTTAGGGAAATATGAAGGATCATCTGGGTCAGAGTCAGCATCAAAAGAACCATCCCGAACCGAGAGCAGGTGCGACAGCAAAGAACCAGGCAGATTATTTATTTGTTCCCCCATCTTCCTCACCGGAGTCCTCATCAGAAACAGACGCTGGAGCATTTTCAGGTGGTTCTATATTATGCACTTTTTCTATGTTGTCGCAGTCTCTAAAAATCATTAACTCATGTAAGGCTATTTCGGACATCTTGCAAAATCATTTCAACTAAAATATATGCGAGAAAAATATGCGTTCTTTGTGGTAGTAGTTTGCCTAGTGTTCCAAAAATGGAACACTGGAAGTTTCAGCCTATAACTAATTCAATAATAGCTTTTCTATTTCTTTTTGCAGTAATAAAGAGTAACTAATTGAATAATAACACAATTTTTTACAGTTTTAAATTAATGCAGCAGTTTATAGTTATTGTTTATAGATGAATCTACAAAAAACCTTGACAAAAATGAAGACCAAATTTCACATCACAGCATCCAAATATATGCAGGCGTGACAACTCTGTGTTCTAGCAAAGCCATATGCCCTTACAAACAATCAAACCATGTGCGACCTGAACCCATGGCTAAAAATAACTTTTATGTGAGGGATGTTCAAAAAGGAACAGTAGGCATAAATGGGTTATACACTCATGTCCATAATTAAGGATGATGCAAAATCAGGCAAAGGAAAAGTTAGAAGCAAAACAAATTTGACTTATTTGTAAAGCTTATTTATTAAACAAAGGGTAAAAAGCAAAAAAAAAAAGATGCTATGTGTTTGATATTATTAAAAAAATTAGCGATTTTTTTCTCCTGGAGCAAATTACAAAAAAAAAAAAAAAAAAAAAAAAAAAAAAAAAAAAACCTATTTACAAAAAAAAAAAAAACATTTTACATGGTTGGTATGATTGTTAATACATTGTATGTCCCCCAGACGATGCAATACAGTCCGTACAACGCCTAGGCATGCTGAGTATCAAATTATCGATCTGATCTTGGGGGATATTACGCCACTCAAAAAGCAATGCTCTCCGAAGTTCCGGTAGACATGTAGGAGGAGGTTGACGGGCTGCAACTCGTCGGCCAAGCATGTCCCACACTTGCTCTACTGAGTTCAAGTCCGGTGAGAATGCTGGCCAGTCCATACGGGTGATATCCTCCGATTGAAGGCATTCGCTTACGATATTTTCACGGTGAGGACGGGCGTTGTCATCCATAAACACAAATTGTGCCCCATGGCACCCCGAAACAAACATACATGTTGTTCCAGAATGACGTCCCGATAGATTTGGCTTGTCATAGTTCCAATTTGAACATGCATGTCAGTTCTGGAACCCAGAATAATTCCGCCCCAAAAGAGCACTCCTGCACCACCGTAACGGTGTCGTTCAATGATGCTTTCTTGGTGGTAACGGGTACCTGGAGCTCTCCATATGAAAGTCCGGCGAGAATCAGACTGCAAGCTAAACCTGGACTCGTCGGAAAAATCACACAAGCCCACTGTTGCGGTGTCCACAATGCATGCTCTCTACTCCAGGCTAACCGCAGGGCGACAGTGAGTTGCAGTAAGTAAGTGGAACGCATCTGACAGGTCTACGAACATATAGAACCAATCTGCCCTAAGCGTCTGTACACGGTCTGCCTTGAAATTGTCGTACCAGTGGCTGAAGAGAGCTGACGAGGCAGGTTCTCAGGCTGTGCTCCACCTGTTTTTTGGCAGTAACTGCCAAATACCGGTCCTTATTCGGCGCTTGTAACTCTGGGGCGACCTGTGCTGTAACGTCTACTCACATTACCATCATCTTGGAATCGTTGCCAAAGCCTGGAGATGACACTCTGGGCAATTCCAAGTTCATGTCTGATACTTCCAGTTGGGTACGCCCACATTCCAGACGGCCGATAATTCTACCACGTAAAAAATCATCCAAATGCATCCTTTGTGTCATAACTATTCGGTTTTGCACTGAAATGCTTATAAAGCGCCTGCGAACAATTTTACTTCTTTGCCTGTATTCCTTATATTCATCACTTACACTCTCGTCATTGTGACGTACCATCGGTGTCGTCTATTTACATCCTGAAATTTGCATATGATTCTTGAAGATGTGTGTAGTGATTTTACAGGTGATATATTTATTTTAGAGTTCGATTTCCGTGTGACTCCGAATTATCCTTAATTTATGGATATGAGTGTAAATGATAAAAAAAGATAATTATTGCCTTTTTTATGACAACAGGAAAAGATAATGTTTGGCTTTTTTGGCGGGATAAGTTTTATTGAAATTCGTTATGCTAGAAAATAAATGTAAGGGTTACTGTCAAACAAAGGAGATAAGTCACAATAACAAAAATGTACATGTAAGGCATTTTGAATATTTCCATGAAATTTGAGGAAATTGTTAACTTGCAGATGGAAAAACTCAGTAAAAATGTACAAGAATTGCCACTTCTGGGAAAGAAACTATAGTTAATAATTCAGTTTGGAAGTGTTTAATAACAAGAAACATATGGAATGTGTACTTGTAATGACTGGACGAATGGCAACCTAAATTTTAAGTTCATGTTAATACACATGCTTTTTTCTTTTTCTGGGAATTTGTCAGTTATAACTTTTCTGTAATAATTCTTTCATGTTTCTGGTTGAGATTTTCTTGCTTTTAAAAGCTTCACATGAAGCATGAGTTTAATTATAAAAATTAAATTTAAAATTAAAATAAAAGAAGCCAGCTATTAAGCCCTTTAAGAAAAAACTAATTTGATTTCAGAAAAGTGTGGATGTCCTGGCATTAGACCTTGGATCTTGAGAATGGTAGTTATGGTTGTTAATGTTTGGAATTATTCTGACAATTTTAGGTCTTTCTCATTTACTTTATTATAAATTCTTTACATTGCAGGTGTGCTGGAGTATTGTTTTCAAAGGTTGGAAAAACAGCAGCATCAGCTTTAGCTGGAGGTTTATTAATGTTCCAGGTAGAATTTTCTCATCTAACTGCTATCTGATGTGTTTCATATTAACAATATGATTTTTAATGTTAACCTTACATTAGCCGTTATTATTCATATGGCCTTATTAACATTAAGTTTATTATGTTTTAAGTTTATTATGCTATTAATATAAGCAAGCAGTTATACAAAGTCTGAGATCTGGACTTGTCAGGACTTTTGGAGTTGAGATTTTTCTGGATGTGAGATAATTTGTTTAAATCTAGTAATGTAGAACTTACAAAATAAAAAATATGAAATAGTGATTTATGAAATAATGAAGCAAATAACCTTAAAAAAAATCAAAATTTACAAAAAAAAAAAAAAAAAGGGGGGGAGAGACTCAGTATTTAATTGTTTATTAAACATTTCTTTCAACATAGCTTGCTTAATTTGCTTTGTTTTTGTGCCGATACTTTCTCTTTAATTCTATATATAGACACAATTTCTTGTACAGTTACAAAGTTCTGTTACTCAGGTCTTGTAATTGCCACATTTAGAATTCTCAATAAATTATCATTTAAAATTTTTTCGTTCTGAACAACCTCTTTGTCACTTTCTTCACTATTGACAGCGATATTTTCTGGGTTTAGAACTATGCTACATATTTTTTCATATTTTTCTCAGGTGATTGACAATTGAGGCAGTTTTTATCTGAGGTCCAAATACATAACTTCCCACAAAGCTTATCCAGAGCCAACGCTGAACATTTTGCAGTGGAGGAAAGTTTCTGTGGGTACAAAATTCTGCTGCCAAGTACCTCATTAGTCTAAAATTTTGCCACCCCTAAATTTTGCATCCCATTGCCTTCCTTAAATTTTAAAGATTTTGCCATCCCTTAAGTTTGTTTCTCTGCTTCCCAAGTGTCTAAAATGTATTGCATAAATTTCATTACTCTACGATAATTTTTTCTTGGTGGTGGAATTTTTTTTCACATCAGTTTGTTATAATACAGGCATAAATGTTAATGAAGTGCTCAATAAGGTCAAAGCAGCCATCATATGAATATTATCTTATAATTTGCTGTTATTTTATAACTTGTTTAGTTTCATTTCTAATGTCAGTATATTTTGTTATAATGTAATATACAAAATTTGATACTATTTTCTCTCTCTCTCTCTCTCTCTATATATATATACACATCATCGTCAGATCTTTAAAATATCACTTAGATTTTTTTCAGTTTGCTAAAGCAACTGATATTTGAACTTATGAAAATAGAATAAGAAACACTTGTTCACTGCAGTAAAATTTTGAGGTGTCAACACAATATAAAATTATTATGACCTCATCTGCCTCTGACCCCCATTTATAGTATATAACTGAAGCAAGTAAAACTTTTAATAAGCTGTTACGAAATATTCACAAAAATATGCTAAGTATTTCTGTTATATGTATAATTTTGATTTAGTTAAATTTTTTGAGAGATTCAAATGATGTTTATTAATGATTTTGAAGATTACGTAACTCCATAAAAATTAATGATTTGTTTCAAGTTCTGGATAAAATGCAGTTTATATTCACTAGAACTATATTGAATGTTCAGAATGTAATTAATTTGATTATTTCTGAAAACTTTTATCTTATAAACGGCCAGTTATGCCACAAAATTGAAGGAGTACACCAGGCAAGACCAGCTTATAACATTTAAGCAAATTTATATGAAGGTTGGGAAAACAATACTCCTTACTATGGTAATTCGTTTTGGACATATTGTTGAAATGGCTATTTTTGATAAAACAAATCTTATGATACCAATTTTTATCCTAATTATATGAAACTTAAAGTGATAATATACATGCAATGTTTGTAAATCTATCAATGTACAGGAAACATAACAAATTGTGTATGATAAACTACTAGAATTTTAAAGTTAACAGGTTTTTTTTTTTTTTTTTTTTTATATACACAATCCCAGTTAATCCATTTTCTGGTCCATCTGCCCCTAGTTAATCAAGAGTTGTCTCTATATATGTATTTCCTAAACTGTATCTACAAGCCTAAAAAATTCATTTAAAAATAAGCAAATCTCTTCCTGGATAATTAACAAATAGGATTTATATTTGTAGATTGCTCAGCATCAAGGGTACATTAAAGTAAATTGGAATTAAGTAAACAAAGATATTGAAAAAGCTAAAGGTAAACTTGACAAGCATTCAAAGAAGCAGATTCCTTGGTTTGTCGATGAAGTAAGTATTTTTTAATGCACGTTGTTGATCACTAATATTGGTGTGAAATTTTATTAACTCCCCCCCCCCAAAATGTAAGTACACACTGTATGCAAAATTCAGGGTTGCCATGCTACCTGGAAAACCGGAAAAAATAAGGGAATTCGGAAATTGACAAAAAATCAGGGAAAAGTTCAGGGAATTTAAGTGTTTAGTCAAAATCTGGAAAGTCAGGGAATTCATACACGATTCCCGCCAAAAAAGGCGAGTTTGCACCGACGTCGGAAGAGATCACTTTGGTGAATTGTGTTCACGTGTTCATTCGGGCAGCTGGCTGAGCCAATTTCGCAGCTCTAATTGATTGTCTTTTTAGAAAGGTAAAGCAAGTTTCCCGCAACTTTTGGTTTCCATAACCTCGAGAAGAATCGCATGTGCAGTGCATGAACTAAAGAAAGTACCTGTTCTCGTATAAACAAAATGGGTTAATCTAGTATAACGGTACCATGAAGTTAGAATAAAAATATGTATTGTAAAGAAGGAAACCTCTCTGCAACAGACGTGGTGTCCATTCCATCATAGTGGGAAACAGCTGTGCATGCGCCAATCTCGAAACCGGTGTCGAAGTTCGAAAAGGTCACGTTATCAGAGTTCATAAAATGAATGTCGTTTAAATTTCTTTAAACTTTAAAGGAAAAGAAAATATTTTTTGGCGCAGAAATTAATTCATGGATTAGTTATTTTGAGGGGGGGGGGAAATCTATGAAAATCCGTTTTTAAAATTATTGCGAAAAATCCAAGAAAAAACGTTCTTTGATAAAACGTTTCTTCTTGGATTTTTTGCAATAATTTAAAAACAGATTTTCGTAGTTTTCTTTTTTTGTCGAAGAACGTTTCATCTTAACACGTGTTTCTCAATTTCCTGTACACATCGCGGAGAATGAAATTCTGGACGCCAGGTTCCGTGCCAAATCCCTTGGCAAAATTTCCCTCCGCTTTTTACATAGATGTTCTTTGGTTAGAATAATCTCCATGTATGGTACGGGATTTGGCGACATGATGATGAGCATTCAATTTTGTTCTTGGCGAATCAAATCATGCGAAGGCCACCATAACCGTATACTAGGATTTTACCGCAAAATCTTTTTTTTTTTTTTTTTTTAAATAAATATTTTGTCATTTTGCAGTAAAATAAAAAATAGCAATCAGTCATCTAGGCTAACCATGTAATATAACTATATTTGCGAAAGTATTGTTTATTATTCTAATTCAATTTTTAAGTAATTATCTTTATTTTTATGTTATTCATATCATTTAATGTTGCTTCTTTCCTCTAAATTTATTTATCATTAGTAAATGAGATTTCAAATTTCAGGAAGTTTTCTCTGGCATAATCCTGAAATTAATTCTAACAGTATGATGACATCACGAATTTAATGCACATTTTTTCTTTATGTATGCTGCGAAATAAAATAAAATACCTCAATTTAGTAAAAAATATCATTAATAGATTTTCTTTTCTTTCGTTTAGCTGCAGAATGTCTGCAAAAAAGCCTTATTTTTTTCCAGATTTGGCAGATTCTTATCTCAATCTTCAGTGGAGAAAACAACTCCTATTATAATAATATTTGGTTTTCAAGTTTTAAGGTGCCTTTTAAGAATACACCTCACACAAAAATTTACCTAAAAATATAACCTAACTTTTGCTTTGCTTGTGATTTATAAGAACTGGATTAGCCTCGAGTTGAAAGGGGATGATCATGAATAATAATTAAAAAAAATTGTACAGTTGTATCCATCTATCTTAAATTTTATTAAGTTTTTTTAAGCGGAAAAGTAAACAAAATTATCAAACAAAGTGTACCAAGAATAATTAAGAATAAATGTCCTCTGGGATTTATTGAATAATTAAGTGAATTTGCTACACAGTACAAGTAATACCATAATTAATTTACCTCTTAGGACAGCCAACGTACATTACGCGGATAGACTGGAATTTTCTCGAAACATACCTGGAAAACCTGCAAAAGTCAGGGAATTTCATTCTCCTGTTTGAGTGGCAACCCTGAAAATTTCTTCTGTAATTTAGTGAATTTGAAAGAACATGCAGTATCAAATTTTAATGATTTCCCCTAAATGTCCAGAGATTTCATTGTCAGTATATAAGAATAATTATATATATATATATGATTAAACAATTAACAGAAATTAGCAAAACTTTAAAGGGAGTGCAGTGATCTCAAGAAGCCCCCAACACTTTCAAACCTGAGAGTTGGAATTCATGAACCTAGTGCTCTTTTGTGCTAGTGGTAGGAAATTCAACTTGCATGGAACAGACCCAGGATTGAATCCCAAGGTCATGATCTCCAAGGCATGCAAAACTTGTGTGTTGCTGCACTTCTCATTGGTGCTGATAGATGATGACTTGGGCAATGAGCCACATACCAAGCAGCTACAATATATGAAGCCACTGATGTCTTGCACAATATGATGGCTACAGCTGCAACCCAGACACTACATACACTTTCCTCACTGAGGACAAATGATGAACTACATCACACACGCTGAGGCACTCCTTCACACATGCTTCAGCTCAAATCTAACAGTGACACTCTAGTCAATAAATATGGTTCTGTGAACCATACATCATCGGATCCAACTGAACATGCCCACACACTGCAGCCACAGCCACTGCCCATCAGTGCAATAATCAATGTCATCAAAGTGCTGGGTTCACGGCCACAAAATGGGCTTAATCACAATGGTGAATCATATCTCCTCCTATTGCATCAGAAATGCTTGGGAGGGGAGTGCATAGCGATCTCAAGAGCCACCTAACGCTCGCAAATTTGGAAGAATCAGAATTCTTGAGCTCTTTTGTGCTAGTGGTAGAGAATTCGTCTTGCAGGAAACAGGCCCAGGACTGAATCCCAAGGTCATTACCATTTTCAAGGACATGCAAAACTTGTGCACTGCTGCACTTCTCATTGGCACTAATAGATGGTGACACGAGCAAGCAACCACATAACCAAGCAGTTACAATATCAAAGCCACCGTGGTCTCTCACACTACGTGATTGCTACTGGAAGATCCCTTTTAAAATACTGTTAATGTTTAAGAATGCAGTTGTACTGAGTAAATTCTTTTAAGACTCTTGTGAAAGTTAAAGATGAATATGAGATATCAAAAGGAAATCTACAATGATGCAAAAAAGTTCATTTAAGAATGTTAAAGGAAGGATGAGCTTTTCTGTAGTAATTAACATAATAAGAGTTTAATCATTTTTGCGGCCAGAATATAGATAACTAGATATTATGGAAGCTGGTTGGTATAATTACAAGTAAAGGTACAATAGGAAAAAAATTCCAGTGAGCAGTTGTATCATCTTAAATGCTGGTCATGGGAATATGCAGAAAGTGGCATGCAGCGTGCGGGTCGTCTCGGCTTAAGCCAAACTCATAAAATAGTAATCAAAATTGCAATAACAACCTTGTATTTAGCGTACATATATTAAAACACTCAATTGATTTCGAGGGCAGCTAAAGGTCCCTCCTCATTTGAGGTTCGAGGTTCAGACTTGGTGCGTGAACAGGTGCAGTTGCCCCTTGCTCCCTATTTTGACTTTGCTGATTTTTTTGCATTTTAGTCTCATGTGTTACATGTTTGATCAGATAGTCTGGCTCAGTAAAAGTAGGCGGGCAGTGTAACTCTGATTCAAAATCTGGTTAGACCACGTGCAGTGCTGATAACGACCACATGTTTCTGAGACTCCTTAGCCAATGCTTTATTTTTCTTCTTTTCCCCCCTTTCTAGTAATTTCGTTCTCCTGATGAGGAGGGACCTTTAGCTGCCCCCGAAATCGACTGCGTGTTTTAATATATGTACGCTAAATACAAGGTTGTTATTGCGATTTTGATTGTCACATTGGCGCGTTTCTCATCTATTCATGAAATAGTACTTACTTAAGTATTAGGGGCTGATGAGAGCCAATTCTAAGCATTTCTAATGATTTCATTGTGCCAGAATCGACAAATAAAAGTTTTAAGATGTGGCAGTTACCTTCAGACAGTGCTAACAAGCAAGATAACCTACATTTCCCATACAAAATTCCTGATACTTGACATCAAGGTTTAAGGAATGTTCAGCTTCCTGGAGATGTCTAACTGCATTTGGCTGCCTTTAGTCTATCAAGCTTCAGACTTTTCTTCATTTAACTTAGATATGTATGTTACATGAAACAAATTTTTATGGTTTCCTCATATTTTCCTTTCATGATATATGCAAATATGTGTGGAACAGTAGGCTTTTCTGCTCACTAGCATATGTTTACAATACATAATTTTGTTCTATGGAATTTTAATTGACTTTCTGCAGTTAGCATAGGTTTTACATTATTCTTTAACTTTGAACAGCATTGCATGTATTAGGTCTGCTCTGAAGGTATTGAGCCATGTAATAGAAAAAGTTACTATAATAAGTTTAAAATAATCTGTATATTTGGCAGAAAAAGTGCAAGATATTAGAGACGTACATAATCCCCATCCACTTCAAATTAAACACTTTGGGATCTTGCACACTTTTCCCAGTCTTGTTTCCACTCTTCAAAACATCCTAAAATATCATATGTCGGTAGTACTGTGAATAACTATCTCATCATATTGGCCTTAATCTTTTTGATTATTTTTAATCTCTTCCCTTTCAGAGAAGCTTTTTAAGTTTTGGAAACAGGCAAGGGAACAAGCTGCTGGTTGCTGTTTGTTTTGATATTTCACCAAGAAATAAGAGTTATAAATAAGAGTCACCAAGTTAGGAAAGCATATGGTTGTGATGAAGCTGCTAATTATCAGCTGTCCAGAACTGGGCTGTTTTTATTTTATTGTATCTCAAATTTGGCAAAGAATGTTTAGAAAGTAATTATTTAGCCTAGAGGATTGTACACATGTTGGACAATACCTTTCCAATCTGAAAACCCAGTTGACATGATTTTGACTTTGCTACAAACTTTGTGCGCTTTCTTTGGGCAT